TTCGCAAGTACATAAGTTCTTTAGGCTTGAATCGATGCACGATTCGTGATTCTAGTGTTATTTGATGCGATTTGACGCTTCGAGCATGTTCGTATGATGTTTTAGAACTTGTTGGTATGCTTGGTTGAGGTCCCGGGGGCCTCAGGTGTAATTCGGACCAGATTCGACACATTTTGGAACATTGAAGATTGCTGAATCTGGTGCTTCTGGTTTCCTTATATGCGATCACGAGTTGATTAACGCGATTGCAAAGAGTATTTGGGCACCGGAGGAAATTTTCTCTATGCGATCGCGAGAGGAGGTACGCAATCGCGGATGGTTCGCATTCAGTGAATCGCGAACGCGTGAAGGAGGTCGCGTTTGTGTAAAAGAAATGGCGAGGCTGGGGGATGTGGCAGTCTGTGCTATGCGATCGCGTGTCCTGGAGTGCGATTGCAAAGTTGAGGCAGCTTGTTTATCGCGTTCGCGGTTTGTTTCACGTGATCGCGAAGAGTAAATTGGAGCTGGGCATAATTTGTGTTACGCGATCGTGAAGGGATTTCCGCGATCGCGATGTGTAAATTACTGGGCAGCAGATTTAAGTTTCAAAGTCGAGGGTTTATTTCATATTTCATATTTTGGACATAGAGAGCTCGATGTGAGGTGAAATTTTTGGATATTTTCAGATAGAGCATTGGGGTAAGAATTCCTAACTCGATTTTGGTTAAATTACACGAATCTATCGTTGTTTTTATCATCTAATTAGGTATTTGAGTTGGAAAATTTGGGGGGAATTGGTAGAAACTTCTTAGGCTAAAAATTGAGGATTTGAAAGGCGATATAAGGTCGGATTTGAGTAATTCTTGTATGGTTGGACTCGTTATCGAATGGGTGTTCGGAGTTTGTAAATTTGGTCAGGTTCGAAGACGCGGGCCTGGGTTTACTCTTTGAGTTGACTTTTTATTTCTTCACAAAGATCATAATTTTATTGTTCGAATTAGTTTCCTATAGTTTATATTTATGGTATGAAGTTGTTTTGGCTAGATTCGAGTCGTTCGGTGTTGGCTAATCAAGGGAAGGCCTACTAGTGGATTGATTTAGCGTGATTTGAGGTAAGTGACTTGCCTAACCTTGTGTGGGGGAATTACCCCTTAGGATTTGTGTTGGTTGTGCTAATTGTGATATTGAAAGTTGTGTACGCAAGGTGACGAGTGTGTACACAGGCTAAATATGAAAATTTCCAGTTTTAGCTATGAAGATTCCTTTCATGCCTTAATTGAGTTATCTTAACATGTTATATTCATCATCCTTAGTCTATTTTTACATATCTACTTGTCTTATTCTCTTACATGCTAATTGCCCTACATGTTTAGTTGAAGTTCTTATTTCCTTTATTCCGTGTTCATTACTTAATTGTTGAACTTTTTACCTGAAGTTGTTAAAACCGTGGAATATCTTGTTCTTGAAATTTGGTATTGATATGTAAAGATCGTGATTCACATTGAGGTAAAGTATTAAGTTGTAAAATACCAATCTGTTGAGTTGTTCATTCCGGTTATTATTGTTGAGACCCTTGTGTACTTTGTGGTTGAGCCATGGGCTCTTTACTGTGAAATTACTGTTATTGTTTGGTTTCACTGGCAAGTTGTAATATTGGGCACTTGAGGTGCGATTTGTAATACATTATGATATTGATACGCATGCGGTGGTATAAGGTTTTGGGTTTGAAATGCATGCGATAAGATAAGATGGGCTTGATACGCGTGGCTAGTAGGTGAACTACTAGAAGTCATGCAGTGTGATAAGGTGGGCTAAAACACGGGATGCTATTTCGGGGAAAATGATTTTAAAAACTAAATGTAAAGTCTCTCGCGGTGATATAAGGAAAGGTTGTGATTTATTCTTGTGAGTTGAGACTACGAGGCGGTACCTCGGTAGTGATTCTTGTTGGCATTTCTCCATTTTTGCACTTGTCTTTGGTTGTTGTTTCCTTAGCATATTATTAATTGTTTTCTCCATGTTGCACTAATTGCTTTAGTTCCGTGTAGCTAACCTTGATATTCTATTCCTTGTTTCAATTTCATTACTGTCATTGTTACACTGCCTTATGTTTGTTCAGTCCTTTATTCATTCCAGTAGTTGCCTTGACCTGACCTCGTCACTACTCTACCGAGGTTAGGCTTGGCACTTCCCGGGTACCATTGTGGTGTACTCATGCTACGCTTCTGCACATCTTTTTGTGCAGATCCAGGTACATCCTACCAGTCCAGGCATCAGTGATTTGAGTTCGAGTGTGGAGACTTCAAGGTATACCTGCCAGTATCTGCATGCCTCGGAGTCCCCTTCTACCTTGATTTCCTTATTTCATTTCCCTTTATAGACATCGATGTATAGGGTTATTCAGTATTATTACTTAGAGCTTGTGACTTATATTTCGTAGGGTTTGGGGAGTTATACATGTTGAGTTGCAGATTTTATTTTATATAATTGTTGAAGTTTTGAGATTTTAAATTATTATTATTTCAATTACTCTGCATGTTTGTTAGGCTTACTAGTCTTAGAGACTAGGTGCCGTCACGACATCCTACGGAGGGAAATTGAGGTCGTAACAAGTTGGTATCAGAGCTCTAGGTTCATAGGCGTTATGAGTCACAAGCAAGTTTAGTAGAGTCTCGCAGATCGGTACGAAGACGTTTGTACTTATCTTCGGGAGTCTATGGAACTGTTAGGAAAAGTTTCACTTCCTTGATTCCTTATCGTGCAAACTTGTTGACTTCAAAATTCTATATCTCTATCTTTCTATTCTCTCACAGATGGTGAGGACATGCACAACTGGATCTGATGATCAGACACCTACGTCCCCTGCTAGAGTCGCTTGAGGTCGGGGCTGGGGCAGAGGCCGAGGACGTCCATGTGGTGCAGCCAAAGCACCCGCACGAGCTACTAAAAAGGAGCCACCAGTAGCTCCAGTTGGAGAGCAGGAACCTGAGACGCCTGTTACTACCCCAATACTTCAGGAGACCCTCGCCAGGTGTTTGAGCATGTTCGGCACTTTAGCTCAGGCAAGGTTGATCCCACTTGCTCCTGCCATATCTCAGGCCGCAGGAGGAACACAGACTCCCGCCACCCGTACCCCAGAGCAGCGGGTCCAGGTTGACCAGGTCCCAGAGATCATACCAGTGCAGCCGGTCACCCTAGTTAAGCCCGAGGTTAGGGCAGCAGCTTATGAGGGGGAGTAGCTCAGGCTCGAGAGGTACAAGAAGTACCAACTCCTACTTTCAACGGGTTAGATTCAGAGGATGCCCAAGATTTTCTTGAGGATTTCCATTGTATCTTCTATACTATGGGTATTGTGAAGTCGAGTGGGGTTGCTTTTACTACGTTCCAACTTAAGGGAGCGACTTATCAGTGGCGGCGAACGTATGAGTTGGGCAGCCGGGCCGAGGCATCTTCACTCACCTGGGATCAATTCTCAGAGATGTTCTTTAGGGAGTTTGTTCCTCAGAGTCTTAGGGATGCATGGCGCGCCGAGTTTGAACAGTTGTGCTAGGGTTCTATGACCGTATCGGAGTATGCAGTCTGGTTCAGTGATTTGTCCGGGCATGCACCAGCCTTGGTTTCTACTGTCATAGAGCGAGTTCATCGATTTATCGAGAGGCTCAACCCTGGTATCAGATTCAGCATGACCCGAGAGTTGGAGATAGACATCCCACACCAGCAGGTAGTGGAGATTGGAGGGTATGTGGGCCCGAGAGAGAGAGAAGAGGGAGTCCAAGAGGCCTCAGGATTCTGGCACATACAGTGGTACACGTGCCCCGGTTGCAGCCCGTCATGGTAGGGGCTATGTGAGCACTTCCATCTTCCAGCGGTATTCCATCCACTCCCAGGCCTCAGGTTCCCCATTATGCATCGCCACTGTCTAGTGCACCTCTTGCACGGGGTGCTTTCAGCGGTCAGTCCAACCGATCAGGCCGATCCAGCTCTAGAAGCCACGTCCTCGGAGGGCTTGCTTTGAGTGTGGTGACACTCGTCACATGGTGAGGGACTTCCCCAGACTCAGGAGGGGTGCACCTCCACAGACTACTCAAGCCCCATGTATACCACAGGGCCCTCAGGCTTCTCAAGTCATGGTTACCGCAGCAGTTGCCACTCCACTTGCACATCCAGCTAGAGGTGGAGGTCGGGGAGGTAGAGGTCGCCCTAGAGGAAGAGTCCAGGCCAGATATTATGCTCTTCCTACTAGGACGGAGGCAGTTGCATCCGACTCAGTTATCACAGGTATTGTTCCAGTTTGTCATAGAGATGAATCAGTCTTATTTGATCTAAGCTCCACTTATTCCTATGTATCGTCTTATTTTGCTCCATATTTGGATATATCCCGTGATTCTCTGAGTTCCCCTGTCTATGTGTCCATGCCTGTGGGAGATTCCCTTGTTGTTGATCGTGTGTATCGGTTATGTTTAGTTGTTCTTGGTGGTTTTGAGACCAGAGTCGACCTATTATTGCTCAGTATGGTAGATTTTGTTATTATTTTGGGCATGGACTGGTTGTCGCCCTATCATGATATCCTTGATTGTTATGCCAAGACGGTGACGTTGGCTATGTCGGGTTTGTCGGGGTTGGAGTGGAAAGGTACTTTAAATTATGTTCCTAGCAGGGTGGTGTCTTTCCTTAAGGAAAAACAAATGGTTGGTAAGGGATATGATGCGTATCTAGCATATGTGAGAGATGTCAGTCTTGATACTCCTACCGTTGAGTCAGTTCTTTTAGTGAGGGATTATCCAGATGTATTTCCGGCAGATCTTCCAGGCATACCACCCGACAGGGATAAAGATTTTGGTATTGATTTGTTACCGGGAACTCAGTCCATTTCTATTCCACCATATCGTATGGCCCTACCAGAGTTGAAGGAGTTAAAGGAACAATTGCAGAAGTTGCTTGATAAGAGTTGCATTCAGCCCAGTGTATCACCTTGGGGTGCTCCGGTCTTGTTTGTAAAGAAGAAGGATGGTTCTATGCGCATGTGTATTGATTATCGCCAGTTGAATAAGGTTACAGTGAAGAACAGGTATCCATTGCTATGCATTGATGACCTATCTGATCAGCTACAGGGTGCGAGAGTGTTCTCCAAGATTGAGTTGCATTCAGGCTATCATCAGTTGAAGATTCAGGAGCCAAATATCCCGAAGACTGCCTTCAGGACTTGGTATGGTCATTACGAGTTCCTTGTGATGTCATTTGGGCTGACCAAAGCCCCAGCAACATTCATGCACTTGATTAACAATGTATTCCGGCCCTATCTTGACTCATTCGTCATTGTGTTTATTGACGACATTATGGTGTACTCCCGAAACTGGGAGGATCATGAGTAGCACCTGAGGATCGGGTTTCAGACCTTGAGAGAAAAGAAGTTGTATGCAAAATTTTCAAAGTGTGAATTCTGGCTTGATTCGGTGGTATTTTTGGGTCATGTAGTGTAGAGTGAGGGGATTAAGGTAGATCCGAAGAAGATTGAAGCAGTGCAGAGTTGGCCCGGACCATCTTCAGCTACTGAGATTCGGAGCTTTCTTGGTTTGGCAGGGTATTACCGTCGATTCGTAGAGAGTTTCTCATCTATTGTCGCACCTATGACTAGACTAACCTAGAAGGGTGCTTCGTTCAGGTTAAGGCTGGCATGTGGGTCAGGGCCCGTCCTAAGTGGGCCGGTCCTAAGTGGGATAGGTCCTAACTTAAACGGGCCTATGTGGGCCCGGGCTACGCGGGCTTTTTGTTGGAACTAATGATCCCGGGCTAAGTGGGCCCAACGGATACTTTCTATTTTTTTAAAAAAATTTATAGAAGTTAGAGAAAACAAATGGTAATAAAAATATCTAAGGCAATTCCTTGTAAATTATATTATAGAATTGTGAACTAAACTTTTTAATTCAAATTTAAAGACAAAAATATTGTAAAGAGATATTCAAAGCAATGCGTTATAATTTTATTATAACATTAAAAAAATATTGCAATATCTTTCTTAGTCTTCCTCCTCTCTATGGAATAAGCACAATAAGGTGATAATACCACCATTGAGAAGAAAAAGAAACTAATCAAGATGTGCCAAAATACAAGTTACATATTAATTTTTGTTCATACAAGTTACATGGTATCTCTTTCAAATTTCATAAATCCTTCAAGGTCCGGAAGAATTTCCGTTGGTGGTGGCGGAAAAGAAGCTTGGCCATCACCGCTTCTGGGCAAAGCAGCATCCTCCGCAAGTTCAGCTAGTATTTCTTCGTAAGCTTCGTCTACCTCTGGTTGTGATTCAGCAAGTCCAAAATTTCTTCTTTTCGAACGGATCCAATCTCTAAAAAGTACTTATTTTTCCAAGCTCTCCCTCATAGACGCTCTATAATCACCGAGTTGAAGTCTTGCTTGACTGAAAGCGCTCTCTGATGCTGTTGTTGAAGCTTGAATAGTTAAAATGTCTCGAGCCATCCTTGAAAGAATCGGAAAGTATTTTTCTTTGTCCTTCCACCATTCCAAAATATTAAAGGAGCCGTCGAGATTCACTTCCTCAATTCCCTATGACAAATACACTTCAAGCTCATTTAGTTGTGAAAATTCACTAGTACTAGAACTTTGAGAACCCCTGAACCCCGCCCAAGCACTAAGTGCTCTTATTCTCGCAGTTCTTTTAGATGATTGAGAACTAGAAGAAGAAGGAGTTGGAACATTTGGTCTAGCATGATCTAATGCAACTTCATAAGCATTATAAATAGTTTGAACATTTATTTTAATTGAGGCTATTGCGTCCGGAAGTTAAGACAACTCCTCATCTTCAAGTGCTAAACCATTATAAACAGTTTCATACCGAAATTGAGGACCTCCTAATTTCATTGTAGGATTTAACAAGGCAGCAACACCATAAATAGGGGGAGTAGGGAAAAAATATTTTTTAAACTTTTTTCTCATAGAACCAATAGCAAGTTGATAAATTTCCCCACCCTCTGAAAAATGATCAAACAAATTTGCAAGTTCTGCAATATAAACAAAATAGTTAGAAATAGTAGGATAATATTGCTCAGAAAATTCATTTGTAGCAATATGAAATTTTTCTAAAAAATCTACAAGCATTTTAACATTATCCCAATCCGCATTTGTAAGGTGCTCATCATCATCACTTACATGAGCATTAAACGTTGAGTTTATGTGGTTTCTATATTCATATGCAACAACGAAACTTTCATACATGTAATTCCATCTAGTTGGACAAGATTTAGGAACCTTTCTTTCTCTTAGGCCAAATTCATCACATCTTTTAAAATATTCACTAAGTCTACTTCTACGGTTTGAATAAAAAAGCCAGTTAAGAGCCATTTTAACCTTTTCAATTTCAACATTTAAAATTCGCATACCATCACCCACAATTAAATGGTAAATATGACAAATATATCTAACATGAAAAATGTTACTAAATGTAGGACTTAGTGTAGTGGTAAGTAAGGCTACAGCATTTGTGTTACTAGTAGCATTATCCATTGAAACTGACATTATTTTATCACTAATACAAAAATATCTACAAATATCCGTAACCGTGCTAAAAATAAACTTCCCTGTGTGACGTGAATTAATTATTCTATAATCAATAATGCGCTTTTGCATTATCCAATCCTCATCAATCCAGTGACTAGTAACAGTAAGGTAATCACAGTCATTACCACTTCTACCAATATCAGTTGTAATAGCAATACGACAATTTATATGAGTAAATAAATAGCGCAAATATTATTCATATTCATGTTTATATTTATAAATATCGCTCTTTACGGTTGTGCGAGGAAAACCTTTATAAGTAGGATTATAAACTTTTCTAATATAATACACAAAGTGAGGGTTAGAAGGAAAACTATAGGGTAAACACATAGCCGTAACCAGTTTTGTCAATTCCTCCCAATCTTTTTTTGGATCATAATATAAAATACCACTGGTAATAGTGTTAATTCTCGGTTGAAATTAATTTGACCCGGTACTAAGGTCAGCCTGACTAGGTACACTTGTCCCCTCGGCCGACGTTTTCATACGAAAATATCTAGCTTTATCTTGAGGGTGTAGCAATATGTGTATGATCAAATCCAACATATTTAAAAACTAACTCTTTGTCACAAGTTTTACACTTAGCCCTATTTTTTCTCTTAGTTGAGTAAAAAATGGCCAAACAACAGATGTTTCTGTCCGTTTAGAAGGTTGTCTAGAAATATTAGGGGTAGTAACAGGAGGGTCAGACGGGGCATCATTTGGATTATTATTATTATTAGTTGGGTTAACTTCAGGAGCAGGACTAGTGGGTGTATCATCATCCGGTTGCGTTTCATCAAAATTTATTTCTTCATCATCATTTTCATCAATAGTTGGATTACCATAAAGAGCATTTATATATTCATGGTTTAATTATTCACCAGGTGCAATATTATGGCAAAATTAACTCTCAGTAAATTGTAATAAACTATTATCGCTATCAAAAATAGCAGGTGTAGGACGGGTAACAGGTTTGGGTCGGGGAGCCATGGGAAGAGGAAGAGGAACAGATTGGCCACTAGATTCACCACTCTGGGATTTTTTCTTATTCTTACTAAATATTTTTTTTTAAGGAATAAGCTATCTTAATTAATCAAGCAATACAAAGTAAATAAAATAAACAAAACTATAATATTAAAACTTAAGAGTTGGAACGAGTTTACCGAATCGATGAACAACTTGTTGAAAATTAATTATCGTTGAAGACTTAAAGACTTCAATTCACCAACTTCACAATTTTTCACAAATTATAAAAATAAAGTAAGCAATTATAGAAGAAAATTAGAGAGAGACTGAGAGAGATTGATGATTTTGTGAGAAAAATGAAAGAATAAGGGGGTATTTATAGTTGAAAATAGGGAAAAGTATAATTATAAAAAGTTTGGGGTTAAAACAAAGTTGGGGGGTTAAATGGCTATTTTGTAAATAGCCAACGGCTATTTTGGCAGAGGAAATGGCTACATTTTAAATGCCCCAACGGGCAAATTTTTTTTTTTAAATTAGAGCCGTTGGGACCGTTTAGGCCCGCTAGGAACGGTCTAGTCCCGGTCCCATCCCGGTCCCAAACGGCCCGGTTTCGCGGGCCTCGCGCAAAGGACCGATCCACTTGCCAGGCCCACCTCCCCCGGTCCTGATCTTAAGCGGTTAGGACCATTTAAGCCCACTACCCATATGGGCCGCTTTCCTGGGCCGGTCCGATCCTGGACCGGCCCACTTGCTAGGGTTAGTTTAGGTGGACCAAGGAGTGTGAGGAGAGCTTTCAAAAGCTCAATACTTTCTTGACTACAGCCCCAATGTTGGTGTAGCCTACGGGTTTAGGGTCTTACACTGTATATTGTGATGCGTCGCGTATTGGTCTCGGTGCGGTGTTGATGCATGACGGTAGGGTGATTGCCTACACTTCTAGATAGCGAAAAGTGCATGAGAAGAACTATCATGTCCATGACCTTGAGTTAGGAGCTATTGTTCATGCCTTGAAGATTTGGCGGCACTATTTGTACGGTGTCTTTTGTGAGGTCTATATCGACCACCGGAGTCTGCAACATCTGTTAAGGTAGAAGGATCTTAACTTGCAGCAATGGAGATGGCTAGAGTTGCTTAAGGACTATGATATCACCATTCTATATCATCCTCGGAAGGCCAATGCGGTGGCCTATGCCTTGAGTCGCTTGGCAGAGAGCTTGGGCAGTTTAGCATATCTACTAGTAGTAGAGAGGCCATTAGCATTGGATGTTCAGGCCTTGGCCAACCAGTTTGTTAGATTGGATATTTCGGAGCCTAGTCGAGTTTTGGCTTGTGTGATTTCTCGGTCTTCTCTATATGATCGTACCAGAGAGTGTCGGTATGACGACCCCCATCTCCTTGTCCTCAAGGACACAATTCATCATGGCGATGCCAAGGAAGTCACTATTGGGGATGACGGTGTGTTACGGATGCAGGGCAGGCTGTGTGTGCCCAATGTAGATGGTTTGCGTGAGCTGATTCTTCAGGAGGCTCACAGTTTATGGTACTCCATTCATCCGGGTGCCGCCAAGATGTATTAGGACTTGAGGCAGCACTATTGGTGGAGGAGGATGAAGAAGGACATAGTGGAATATGTAGCTCAGTGCCTAAACTGTCAACAGGTGAAGTATGAGCATCAACGGCTAGGTAGATTGCTTCAGAGGCTAGAGATTCCGGAGTGGAAATGGAAGAGAGCTGCTATGGATTTTGTTGTTGGGCTCCCACGGGCTCAGAGGAAGTTTGATGTAGTTTGGGTGATTGTGGATAGGTTGACCAAGTCGGCTCATTTCATTCCAGTGGTGACTACTTATTC